ACATTTTGTGCTACCTTGACAACAGAAGATGCCCTCTGTTCCTCTAACCTCGGTGTAATAGGTATTGCATGGTTACCAATGAACAAAACGCCCGCCTCTAGGTCGATGACACAGTTTTTCCGGGACAGGAAATCCACCCCAGCAAAATGTCGTCCATGATGGGGGCCTCACATACGGTCCAAGGTACTTCAGTGTTTCCTTTTCCGACATGTAGGTCTTTTATTTCCCACACTATCTCCACATTGCCAGTAAAACCCCGGAGCCTCACTCGTTTTCCAAGCACCAGCGGCCCCTCAAGCTTGTCTACAGGCTCCCACTTAATCAGCGTCATAGTGGCTGCTGTATCCACGACAGCTTGGATCGGAGTTCCATTCAAAGTGAGTGATATGGTAATACTACTGCCATTAGAGATCGCCAGTTTCACCTCTTTCAAAGGAGGAAGTACATCTTTCCTCGGTGTCTGAGACGGTAACCTTGATATATCCGCCACGCCTCCCTGTGGTTCTCGGGACGCAGTTTGGGACCTCTGATAGTATACCTGGGTATTCCGTCCTCTGTCGTTACCCCAACTGGCGGCACTGTTGTTGCCTCCCCTGGTTCCAAGGGGCCCCGGCTAGGTTGACCTTGACCTCGACCAAGTGGCCCTGTGCTAGATTGACCTTGACCTCGACCAGGTGACCCTGTGCCAGGTGACTCCCCCTGATGTCTGGGTGACCAGTTACGGTTTCGCGGAGGACCTTGTTCTGCGTATGACACCTATCTCGGGGTCTACCGTCGTACCTATTACGGCCGTTGTCCTGGGGCGGAGGAGGGTACTGAGCCCTATTGCGATAATCCGGTGATCTATACAGGGCCGGTGTCCTATGGGGGAAACCTCGGTCGCGTTCCGGAGAGCGGTAGTCACCCCGAGTTCACCACACTTTGCCTTTTTTTATTCTGACGCAACAATCCCATATATTTTGTATTTCGGCATCATTTGTTTGTATTTAAATAATATTTAAAAATGCTAGTGCCAATTGGAGGGTAAAACAATTCATAATTATAACATCAAATGATGTCCTAACTACAAAGCGTAACTGTACTGTACACGCATACAGGGATTTGCTGACATGATTCCATAGAAGATAAATCAATAGGTATGTTATTAAAATATCAATAACATGATCCATTGATTTAAAAAATATGTATCACTTAATTAAGGAAAATGATCACATGCCTAAATATTTAAAAAAATACACCTTTCACTTATTCTGGTCACAAGCTAACTGCGTTAATCGGATATAGAAAATATGGAATACAAACTGTTTTAACAAAAAAAAATGAGTCGCAGTTTTGAGAAACTTGATCAATCCTGTTTTTCATTACTGTGAACACTTTCCAAAAGGAGTAACAACTTTCCGTCATACTTTTTATTTTGCATATTCAAAAGTTGGTCCTCGGATGGGAAAGCATTTAAAGTATTTTTTTTAAGTCTGGGAAACCCGGTCACTTTCAAAGATATAGTAAATATGGCTATATTTGCAGTATTATATTAACAAAACCGAATAATTGAACAGTTCAATTTTTTTCCCGTATTTCTGAATAACCCAAAGTACCAGGATGAAGCTATTTGGTCTGTAGCATGCTGGGAAGAAGTGCTACCAAGTTGTTCAAATAAACGACCTTCATCCATATTCAATGTCACAGGGGTCAAATATGAAAAACCCACTTTAAACAACTTCTTCTGAATAACCAAAATGTTCAGGGTGATGATATTTAGGCAGTAGCATGCTGGGATGAAGGGCTACCAAGTTTGTACAAATGAATGACCTTCACTCATGTTCAAGGTCACAGGGGTCAATTGTCTAGAAAAACCTTTAAACAACAACTTCTGAAAAACCAAAAGGACCGGGATGATAATATTAGGCCAGTAGCATGCGAGGATATGGGGCTACCAACTTTGATAAAATGAATGACCTTTACTAAAATTCAAGGTCACAGGGGTCAAATATGTATGAAATTTTAAAACGAATTTTTCGGATTACCCATAAAGCCAAGAATGTTGATATCTTGCCAGTAGCATACTAGGCAAATGAATGACCTTTACTTATATTCAAGGTCAGAGGGGTCAAATTCGTATAAATTTTTAAATGACTTTTTTTTTCTGAATACCTATGAGGCCCCGAATAATGATATTTGGCCAGTAGCATGCTTGGATAAAGGGTTATCAGGGTTTTTAGCCTATGGCATGGTGCGGCGTCCGGCGTCCGGCGTCAACTTTTTAATTTAAACAACTTCTTCCCAGTAACCAAAAGACCTAGGGTGATGGTATTTGGCCAGAAGCATGCTGGGATAAAGGGCTACAAAATTTGTTCAAATAAATGACCTTCATCGATTTTCAAGGTCACAGGGGTCAAATATGTTAAAATCTTTAAACAACTTCTGAATAACCGAAAGGCCTAGGGTGATGATATTTGGCCGGTAACATGCTTGGATGAAAGGCTACCAAGTTTGTCCAAGTAAATGACCTTCATCGATTTTCAAGGTCACAGGGGTCAAATATGTTTAAAACCTTTAAAGAACTTCTTCTGAATAACCGAGAGGCCTCCGGTGATGATATTTGGCCAGTAACATGCTGACATGAAGTTCTATTTTTTCCAAATAAATGATCTTGATTTCTATTCAAGGTCACAGGGGTCAAATAAGTTTAAAACCTGTAACAACTTCTTCTGAATTACCGAGAGGTCTAGGGTATTGATATTTGGCCAGTAACATGCTGACATAAAGGGCAACCAAGTTTGTTCAAATGAATGAACTTGACTTATATTCAAGGTCACAGGGGTCAAATATGTTTAAAACCTTTAAACAACTTCTTCTGAATAAACGAGAGGCCTAGGGTGATGATATTTGGCCAGTAACATGCTGGGATGAAGGGCTACTAAGTTTGTTTAAATAAATGACTTTATTTATTTTCAAGGTCACAGTAGTCAAATATGTTAAAATCTTTAAACAACTTCTACTAAATAACCAAGAGGCCTAGGGTGATGATAGTTGGCCAGTAATATGCTTGATTGATTTAATGCATATATTTGGGGATCATACTACTCCCATAACATGAGAGGCCGCTGGTCGGCCTTTTTTCTATCGGATATGATTTTGCCGACTGCGACCTCTCATTTCCGAAGCACTAATTATTTGATGCAGTTTCCGCCCTAAATCCGGGCGGAACTAAATCGGCTTGAAAAACTCAATTAAGTGGTTCACAGTTAATGACAACGATATCTACTCACGGTTCATGTAATATAGATCCCATATGTATGCCACAGACACAAATATATAGTATATTACGGAATAGAACACACAAAATGCATGTCCATGTCGTTGTAGCACTTCTCTGACCTACTTTTACAACATGGCTCCCTGGGTTGATACAAAATAGCAGGGGGAAATTGAAACGGAACGAATTGGTACGGATTTTGTTTGTAATGTAATGGAGAATACATAGCTCAGAACTTACGTAAATAATTCATCAGTACACACAATAGTTATTGTCACGGCACTCTTAATACTTTCAGGAGCATAGTTGGCGAGTTTATAAACAGTTTAGAAAGTGAATATCGTTTATATAAATAAAGTACCAGAGAAACTAACGTTTGCACTTTTGTTCCTTTTTTGTTTAAATCACGGCGAAATCCAGCGATTAGTTTATCGAACCAAGCGTGTTTAATTTCCGATTTAGCATGTAAACCATCATACAAGTGTTGAAATGAGAATTTATACACTTCTTTAATGTATCGAGAGCGTCCACATCTTTTCTTGTGTTTTCTCATGATACTTTCCGCCCATTCCACCGTTGACGAGGCACACTCTCTGTCCATGTTTAATCCTCGCAATTGTGAATTTAACTTCTGCACATCTTCAGCATGTTGTTTTTGCATCCTAGCTATAGTTTCTAAGTCATACACACGATGACTACAATATTTTTCATTGTACTCACGTAAACATGCCGGAGGAAGGGTAATAAAACCCACAATAGCTGCTGGACGTTGATCTTTTTTTTTTCTTTAGAAGTTTCAAGTCTTCAAACACGGCAGATACTTTTCTTTCAGAAGGCACAATACATTTCCCCCAACGATTCCTTTTCAGTTCCAGTAAGTCATTTATTCCCACGCAAATTTTAAAAATTATATCATTTCGCATATGTTTGTCCAAGTAGTTAATTATGTTCCTTTTAGCGTCTTCTACAATGGATCCTCTTTCTACTAAATAGTCGATTTGTAAGTCCTTAGGCTGATCATACTTATCAAAGTTATTTGACCTCGAGTCTGAAACAAGAACCAACTTGATCGCCATGGCTACTGCGGAGTAATATGGACTACAGCGGACAACATGTAGGTCAAACTGACCAGGAACGCGTGCATGTGTATATCACGTGATACCGTTTCCGCTGAAATGTCAGTTACAAGGACAGGTAAAGGCTGTGTTTATATCACACACACACGCATGCTGTTACAGTATTAGAAATAGAAAAAATGCATTATTGTGGTGAACATTACTAATAAAGTACTGACATTTGATTGACACAATTAAGATTTTACATATAGCCTTGTAGGAGCGTATAGTGTGGCGGTTCATCAAAATGAATATCGAGGAACTGAAACATAAATTTGATACTGTGAAAGGACAAGACTCCATTAACTTTGATGCAAAGCCAGAACAATTGGAGGCTGCAAAATGTATCAAGGAAAAGCAAAATGTAATAGGATTGCTTCCCACTGGTTATGGCAAAACATTTTGTGCAGTACTTCCGACAATACTATCAAATGTAGAAAATCCTGTAACTTTGGTTACGAGCGCTTATGGACGATCAAATGCAGAGTTTCCACAAATGGAATTTTACTGCAGCTAAAATAGAACCAGATATGGACCAATAAATCGTCTCGGGAATAAAAGATGGCGCATACAATTTTGTATTTTCTTCTCCGGAAACGGCACTAAAACCATTATGGAAAGGCGTTTTTATGTCCAAGGTATGGAAGAAAAACATCATTGCCCTCGTTGTGGATGAAGTACATTGTATATCAGAATGGGGAGAGGACTTCAGGAAAGAATTTAGACATCTACATGAGCTACGATCGGCAATACGCGCTCCAGTTTTGGCACTGACGGCTACGTCAACTGAGGCGGTCAAGCAGGATATAAAGAAATACCTTCAAATTGACGATGCCATAGTTATCTATACATCCCCAGACCGTCCTAATATTTTCATTGATTTCACGAAAGCTGAGTCAACTGATCTGGAGGGAAAATTCTACTGGTTGCTATCTTATTTACGCGAGAAAAAATCTGCAGCGAAAAAGATAATTGTGTATTGCCGTAGCGTAGATAAAGTTGCAGAGGTTTTCATTTTACTCCGGCGCAATTTGGGACTCGATGCATATGTAGACGGAATAAAAGATTCCAGCCATGCTCTTGTTGAGATGTTCCACAGACATGATGAATCAAAAGCAAGAATCCTGAGGAACTTTAAGGACCCTGACTCCAATTTGAGGTGTTTAATAGCCACAGTTGCTTTGGGTATGGGGATTCAAATTGATGACGTAGATATCGTGATGCATCTTGGGAGTCCGAAATCTATACTGTCGTACTGGCAGGAGATGGGCAGGTGCGCAAGAGACGGACGACCTGGATATTCCTATGTCCTATACGACAACTTCACCTTGTCATGTAAAGGTACCCAAAAGGACGTGAAATCAATCGTGAATGTAGAGACGTGTTTCAGAAAGACTGTTTTGTCATACTTAGGTGACAAGACAGACCCAAGTGTACCAGAAGTGTGTAACGGAGACTGTGATACAGAGCGGTGTCTCTGCGCAAAATGTCTGTGCTGCTCTCGCTGTCAGCAGCAGTGTCCTAGCAAGGAGAAACAGTTTGATATAACAAAGTTTGCAAGCCTTACTGACGGCCCTACTGACCAACTATATTGAAAGTGTGTATTAACATATCATTTATTGTGTGGCAGCGGAAATGTAACTTTGGGTGTTTGGTGGTGTTCTACCGCTAAACCTCGACATTTCGTATGGACTGCGTTTACATATCTATATTTATCATTCATTGTGTGGCAGCGGCTATTGGAAAAATACTTTTTTAGGTGATATTCTATCGCGAAACAAAGGTTATCATGGCGAACAATTGTTCCAATTGCGGTGACGCTTTCAAGGAAAAGCTCAAGGGAAAGGGCTTTTGGCGATTTTCGCTTGAGAATACTTTGCCGAACAGCGACGTTAGCGGTAGGGATCATTTGTCTTCAATGCTAAAAACAACCTTCACACCCGTGTCTAAAAAACGTTTAGGGAAATTTCTATGTCCATCATGCTGGAATAACCTTTCTGATAGTCGTAAATATCGAAAGGCAATTGATGACTTCTGGGGTCGATCAAACAAGAAATCTTATGTAGGATATAAAAGTGAACAAAGTCCAATGTTTACCCCTTCAACTTCCTAGGAACCAAACCTTACTACATATACCACGAATGAATCCACCCTACCTACAACTAGCACGCCTGTGAGACGAACTCAATCTGGTATGTTTGCAAAAAGTGGAATCCGTTCTTCACGTTGGGACCCAATAGTCCATAACGTCTGGACCAGAATATACTACCCTGCAATAAAAGGGTTGTATAATGCAACAACGGGATCAAGGAAGCACTTACATATGGTTGTCGCTAAACTCGTCCGCAAAGAGATAGAGAAGGTCTTGAAATCTGACTTACACCTGTTCAAGGACGTGAGCTTAGAAACCATCAGCTCCTTTTCGTGGAGTGAAACATTAGCAACATTTGCAGCCATAGCGCCTTTGACATATAGTGTTTTAACCGGAATAGCGACAACATCAAAAGGTGCCAGCACACTCACGCGTGGTAAAACAACTAACCTCAAACCAATGCTTGGGTGTGCTTTGGCAACACTTTTGCACGCGAAGGCCCCCAGAAAAGCTAGCTTCATGCCAACGCTATTCTCAATCCAATTGTGGCGAGGAGGTCTGAAGAAGGACACGTTGAAACAAGTAAGTCGCACCGGATTGTGTCTCGGATACAAAGGCACTGTCAATGCCATTGACAAAATCAGACACTCTTTTGATGAGGTTGCGAGAACAACTAAAGAACAGCTTCATGAGCAGCTGTCGGCTGGTGTACCAGACCAGCCCCATGTCGATGAGGATGAACTTGAACTTTCCATTGCTCTTTCTCATACGCTACCAGATGAAGAAGTTCAACTTGACAACGAAGAAGACTCCGAGAATGCAGAAGAAGAGTCAGATGATGAGGATATAGAGGATGAGGAGGAAGAAGAGGTGGTGAATGAAGAGGATGATGTTGATTTGGAGGACATTTTCCAAGAATCCCTTGATGACGTGCCAGAAATAAGCATGCAATTGGATCTTAGCGGAATTGTTCCTGTTCATGATGATTCTGACACAGAGCCGGATATATATAAAGACGCGAAAGAGCTACATCCAGGTTTTACAACATGCTGGGACAATGTTGGTAAGAGGGTTATTACAAGGAACCCTTCTGTAGAAAAGGGAAATACATACATCAACATGGCTCTAGGGTATATGGCAATAAATAGAGTCCCTGTCACCCATCTTGAGGCATTTAACGGTACAACTCCTGCAGTAGAACTTCCTCTGGACATCTTCGTCCTAAACGAAGAGAACTTTTGTGAGAGGGATTTCCGCATTTCTACAATCTTAGGGCGCATTTTAAATCGACATCTACCATGGTTCCGTGACCACTTTGGTGATTGTGCTATTCCTCACATAATGCACATGCATTCGAATGAAATGAGAAAAAAGTCAGTGCTCGTGAACTTAGGAGTTTTCGATGAAAACCCATCGTCCACGAACGGAGCAATCGGGATATATAGAAAAATACAGCAATATATTCCATCTGTCGATGAAAAACCGTACCCTACCATAGTGTTTGGAGACGGCTTAAGCTGTGAGAGGGGAAATGGTGCACATAATGCATGTTCCGGAGAACTTGATCCGTGGCGACGACTGGAAGGGCTACAGCCTTCTCCACAAGAGTTCCACAAGGAAATGCTCTTGCTTCAAGATCACTTTGCGGAGTTTTGCAGAGATAGTGCAGCCGATTTCGGAACTCTGTGTTTCCTGAAAAACACGTTCAACTTCCGGCAAGTTAAACAGGAAGACATCGGCAATTGTTTCTCGGATGCATGGGAACTCATGTGTCTTGCCACCGAAGGATATGTGTGCTTAGCAGTCATGGAAAAGTTCGGCTTGGAGTCGTTAGATGACAAACCGAAACATGCGCCCGACGGAATAGAAGACGACGAGAAGGAAGAAAGGGAAAAGTATCTGAAGAACGTTGTGGGTGAACTTTTACAATACTTTAAAGGCGATGCCGCGTCTCAAGATTCCTCATACCAATACTGTAATTGCAGGACTGATCTTGGAGAAGAGCCTATGGTAGGATGTGCAGCGAAATCAAAATGTGCTCGCCAGGAGTGGTACCACTTACAATGCCTTGGTCTCCCACTTGATGAACTACCAAAGGGCGCATGGTTCTGCAGTGATGCATGTGCCAAGAGGAAGAAAGGAAAACGTGGCAAGTTACCGAAAGAAACTGTCACGTTTGACCAGGAAGATCGTATTGAAGGATATTGTAAGGCAATGGTTTGGAGAGGTTTGAACCTTTTATGTAGGCGGGATGCTGTTAGAGAAGGGGATGGTGAGACCATGATTCGATACTGGAGGTTCGATCTCCCGTATTTCATGGAAAAGAAACATCCCAAATATGTCATTTTGGCACACCGGCTTTTATGTGCTACACATGGATGGTTGCCAGAGAAAGTGAGAGAGGAGCTTATTTGGAATCGAACTGTAAACTACAGTGGTGGTGTTGGTCGTAACCTTCCAATGGATCTGATGAACGAGTTGTTGAACAGGCTGTTTAAGGATCAACTTGAGAGTGCTAAAGGGAGGTACACCGATGAAACAATTCAAAGATGTGATCAGATAATCGGACCTCTAGGCGAGTCTCTCGACGAAATCTTTGACGAAAGAGTCATTGAAAATGAATTGTACCGCCACAGGAGACGCGCTAAAAATAGAGACTCCAATGTACAAAAGCTTGTGAACAGCTTGCTGTCAGAAGACTTATTCAAAACAATTTCTGGGCGTAAATTCAAAGCTTACGCTGGTTTTGAATTCAGTGAAAATCTTCATCTCGCTGGACAATACCAACACAAGCTAGACAAGCTTTCTGCTAATTTAGATCAAAGGAGAAACGTCACTTTAAATCAGTAATGCGCATGTGCCAACCAGTCACGTTGAGCTGACTATTTGTATAATTGACATTTTCAATTGGTATGAAATAACCAAGTGAAATAACGTTTTTCATATTTATCACGGAACTATAAAAACAAAGCATGTTTTTTATGTGGTATAAAATAACCAAGTGAACTAACTTTTTCATATTTATCACGGAACTATAAAAACAAGGCATGCTTTTATGTGGTATAAAATAACCAAGTGAACTAACTTTTTCATATTTATCTCGGAACTATAAAAACAAGGCATGTTGGTATGTGGTATATCAACTTCTCAGGAAGGCAATTCTCATTGATTGGAATAACTAATGAACTGCAGTGTGTCTGGAATTATGAAGAAATGTAACGTAAGTGTATAACTCATTTTAATTTTATTTTTTAACATGTTATTTTTTTCCAGTAGTTTTAATTTTATTTGCTTATCCTTTTTGCCACAACCCCAGACCACCCTTCTGCAATAATTACTATTATTGTCATAAATTACACAGGTAATAGCTAAAATGAAATTAGCAACTGTAAAAAAAATACGTTCCCATATGAAACAAAAAAATGATAAATGGTTTATTTGATCCACATATATAAATTGAATTGTGTAATGGAAGACGTAGCCACACGAACGCAACATTTTCATGATTAAATATAGATAGCAAAAATTCGTTGATTACAGTTAATCCACAAAACATTACTTCGCCAGCTGTCAGAAGTTGTATTCCGCTTGTAGAACATTGCATGTAATCCATTTTTGTATTAACCGGGAAATCACGTGATATTTCTACTTTCACTTCCGACATTGTTGTCTGCTACGCTTCGTAAGAGGAAAAACTTATTATTTATGTTTTTGACACGAAATTATTCTCATTTGATCATGGATTTATGTAAAGGAATATTTATTGGACCCTGTTGACCATTTAAATGTAAGTAAACACGTTATACTTTTTCTAAATCCGAACTTTGAAAATTTGATCGTCAGCATCGGGAAAATCAGCTATGGGCAGTTAGAGGTTACACGGCGCCTGTCAAAAGTTTTTCGCCGTGTTAAACCTCTAACATTGTTGGAGTAGGGATCATACAAGTCATTGTGCTTGAATCGGAGACCTACAATGTATTTAGTTCTCTGCTTAAATATGTCTTAGGCTTATACTAATCATCGATTCTTATCGCTTTCCCCGAAACGGGGGCTATTAATTTGGGTTTGTCCGTCTGTCTGTCTGTCTGTCTGTCTGTCACGCTTCGTTTCTGTGCAATAACTACAACAAATGTTAACTGATTTTCTGCAAACTTAATCACATGGTTAAATGCTTTAAGGGCTCGGCCAAGTTCGATGACCACTTTCAGCGAACCCCATTTGGCGGAGTTATGGCCCTTTGAATAACAAAAAAAAACCGTCATGATCTGCATCGTTTCGTTTCCGTGCAATAACTACAACAAATGTCAACTGATTTTCTTCAAACTTTGGCACATGGTTAAATGCCTTACGGGCTCGGCCAAGTTCGATGACCACTTACAGCGAATCCCATTTGGCGGAGTTATGGCCCCTTGAATAACAAAAAAAACGTCATTATCTGCCTAACTTCGTTTCCGTGCAGTAACTAAAACACATGTTAAGATATTATCTTTAAACTTTATCACA